AGATTGCTCTTCTGGAGAGAAGAGAGCGGAAATAATGATATTGCAAGTTACAAACGTAAGATGCATTTTGACGGACAATTGGGGGAAAATATCCTGCATTTTGAATGTCCGATAGTCAACCATTTACACCTTTGTCCCGTCTCGTCTCGTCAATGAAAACAACATATACATTTCGTCATAGTTTTTATTATCAAGAATCTATTTTTAGCTTGTCATCGTCTCGTCTCTGAAAAGGTCGTTGATGAACTTTTCGTCATAGTTTTTATTGACGAAATGAATACTGTGCACACTCAGGTGTCTTGCAGGTTCTTTGATTTCCTCCTACAATCCAAAGGCATTCAGGTTAGATGAACCAGAACATGTAAACTACCCTGATAGACTGTTGGGACCTCATGGTGTTTCCTGCCTCTCACTCGATGCATGCTGGGAAAGGCTGCAGCCCCCAGAGTTTGCAGCACTCAGTGCCCGGCACTTACAACCCCAGGGCACTAAGTACCAATCGCGTTCACACTGGAGTACTTTTCCCTGAGGGAAGATTATGCAAATGAGCCGCTGAGGTAACTTCTTCTTCTTCTGCTTTCGGTTTACTGGCAGGCTGCAAACCACTTCACGGCGTATACTGCCACCCGAAGTCCCCGGCCGGAAGTCCCCAGAGTTGGGGACTGGCTTCAGTAGAAGCTGCTGGGACTCCCAGCAGCTTCTACTGAAGCCTTCCGAGTAAATCGCCAGAACGCTGACACCTCCTCATCTCCACCGCTCCCATNACTGTATTTATGTATTTATGTAATACGGTTTTGTACTAGTTAGCAATGCATTGTAGGCTGGCCAATGTGAAGCAGCAGCACATGGACCCTAAACAGTATCATACTGTTTAGGGTCCATGTGCTGCTGCTTCACATTGGCCAGCCTACAATGCATTGCTAACTAGTACAAAACCGTATTACATAAATACATAAATACAGTAGATTAATGTTGAAAATGTGCTGTAAATTAACAGCTTACAGTGTAGGTATATAAATATTTAAATATATACAATTACAGAATCAAACAAGTATGAGAGCACTCTCATAATAACGTAACAGACCTCTCTGGTCGCTAAAATGGGGAATTGAAAGTACGGCCCAAAAGTTGTATTTACAAGTATTAAAAGTAAGCATAGGACACCAAACCAACTGAGACCTGTCTGTCCGCCGCATCTACGCACTGTACAACACGCACCTACACACTGTCACACACACACCTACAGCTCCTAAAGCATATAATATATATCAGGATACAGCCGTTGTATATGTTATTATGTGAAGCACTAAATGGTCTTAGAAAAATATCGACTCTTTGTAGATATCTACTAAACTAAAGCATACAAATAAAGAGAGTAATGTAGGCCTGTTATACTGAGTGATATATATTATACACACTGCTCTGCTTTCTGCACGGACCTCACAGCTGTTCTCACTGTAAACATTGCGTCGCGATTAAAGCAGTTAATAAAATAATATCCAGGGGATGCATGCAGAGCTGTCATTGGCTGAGATAAGTCCGGTCTTGCGTCACGACTCTTTTAAACATCACTGTTGCCGGAAATACATCCGCAGAGGAGCGGTGGAGGAACCATCAGTGTATCCTCGATTATAGCTCCTCCAGAGATTCCTCGATGCTCGATCCTCTGTATTCGATGTGCATTGAGAGAAATTAGATGTCCTTCAACATGGTGCGCTGAAATCCATTTCCGGGTCACAACCGGAGGACCGAGGAGTTGAGGAGAGGAAATTAGGCTGCTTCTCAGGTCGGTTATTTTCATTTCCTCGCTCGTCGGTTCATTGGAAGTGTGATTTGTCTGCGGCCCCTACCTTGAGTGGCGTCCCGATGGGCGTTTTCTATTATTTTCTTTTATGGGGAGCGATACGAGGAACCCGAGACCATCCTCCGATGCATGTCAGATACTCTCCCCGGCTTCTGCTTCTGTGTATCGCTCCTGACATTGGACGATGCGTGCATGACTGATCTGGTTGCTTCTTGACATTGAGGAGCAGTTCCCAGCATTTTGTGAGAAACACATGAAACCCGGAGAGTCCGACTCCTCAGTTTTATCCGTGTTTTTTCCAATTATTGTTCATTTGTTACAATAATCGTGATATATTGACCACGTGGTCATAATTATTTTATTCACCACTTTTTTTTGGAAACTTTCTATGTCGCTTTTTTTTCGTTTATACTTTTGAAGAATGGTGTTTTCTTTTTTTGGAATGGTTCTTATTCTATTTTATTTTATTTGGGTCTAAGATTTGGATCAGTGTATATGTCGCTAATGTGCTACTACAGGGACGGGGGTGTGTGTGAAAGGACACAGGGACGGCTGCTGTTCAGGACTCGTTGTGCGGTGTCATCACAAACCGGCGGTCGACTTCACGCTTGCGCTCCGGGGAAGAAAGGACGTCCCACTAGGGAGGAGGTGAAGTTCCTTCCCTTCTCCGGGGGAGCCTCCATGGGACCTTTTTCGCTGGACAGGTATGTATTTCCGTCAATTTAGGGAGAGAGATATATCTTTCGATCCGCTGCTTGAGTTGCTGGCCCACAATTCACATATGTTGTTTGTTCCATTTAAAGATATCTTGCAAGTAAAAATAGAATGTTGTCCGTAATCTGTGAAAGCTAACACTTTTTTTTGTGTGAACCCTCATGACACCTCATCTCCCGTCTCGCACCCACACCAGCAGCCTCCGTTGGCACATTTCACTCTTTCTTTCAGACATGATTCGCGCAAAGTACTTAAGATGTGAATCACTACAAGTCTGCGGCATGCTTGACGAGCCCCTGCTACCATACCAGCCCAAGGGGGTTCCAGTCGGTATCCGTAAGGGGCAGCATGCGGGACGGGGTTCTGGGGATTTTGTATTCTGTCTAGCCTTGCATTTACTGCATAGTCTTATTTTCCAGCAGATTTTCGACAACCCGTGACCTTGTTGCCATGGACAATGATTTTTTTTACGTTCTTCTGTGTAATTCGGCTGGCACATTCAAACGGGAGCGAAAGATTCAATCTTTCTCTCCCCAATTGGACCTTCCCATACAAAGAAGTGGATTGGCGGCCGGCCACTATTTTTTCAACCCGCTTCGTTTTCCGGGTTCCATGGTTCTGGGAACAAACAACGATGATGCGCGGTCGGGTCGCCCGGGTGTTACGGATAACTTATTAAACATATACTAACTTTTCGTTTCATGTTTACCATCCTCGGCCTCTCCCCCTGCGGACCGGCCGCTCACTACCCTCTGGCAGCGTCAATCTGCTGCTGGCGCGACATTCGAAACCATGCTGACGGTGCAGGGCTTCTAGCGGGAATACAGCATTTTCAATACCCTTCTCAAGAGCGAAATCCCATCTTCGGAGGCTCCTTGGCTTTATCTAGATGGGACCGACATGAAACAAACGTCCCACGCCTTTCTTTTTGCGCCAGTATGCAAGCTGCCGTGGTTAATACACTTGTCGTTTTTCACTGCTCGTTATATGCGGCGTTCGGTCGGCGTTAGTGGATCTCTGTGGCGAAAAATGGGCTCGGGGTCGGCGGTTGCGGCACTATTCGGCTATATGTGCCGGAGTTAGCGGGCAGGGGTTTAGGTATTGCACGTCTGCGGCGTGCGGCGCGGGTTCTTGAATCAGGGACCGTGCAGGCTGTGTACCCGTACCCTTCACACTACCCCTCGTTCGCGCGGAGGTCGCCCTATTAAGTGCTGTTCCACAACGACGTGTGGGCAAGTGAGGG